AAACCCTAAACCCTAAAAACCATAGATCCTAGACCCTAAAAACCCTAAATCTTAAAACGCTAAATACCCTAAACCCCAAATCCTAAATTCTAAACCCTAAAACCCTAAACCCCTAAAACTCAAAAACCCTAAACCCTAAAACCCTAAATTCTAAATCATAAACCCTAAACCCTATTAGGCCTCTAACCCCTAAACCCTAAACCTTAAACCCTATTAGGCCTCTAACCCCTTAGCCACTAAACCCTTAACCCCAAATCCTATACCCTAAACCCCTAATCTCTAAAGCCTAAAGCCTAAACTCCAAACCCTAAACCCTAAATCCCAAACTCAAAACCCCAAACCCAAACCATAACCCCTTAATCCTAACCCCTAAACTCTAAAATCCTAAAATCCTAAATCCTAAATTCCTAAAACCCTAAATCCTAAATCCTAAATCCTAAAACTCAAAAACCCTAAACCCTAAAACCCTAAATTCTAAATCATAAACCCTAAACCCTATTAGGCCTCTAACCCCTAAACCCTAAACCTTAAACCCTATTAGGCCTCTAACCCCTTAGCCACTAAACCCTTAACCCCAAATCCTATACCCTAAACCCCTAATCTCTAAAGCCTAAAGCCTAAACTCCAAACCCTAAACCCTAAATCCCAAACTCAAAACCCCAAACCCAAACCATAACCCCTTAATCCTAACCCCTAAACTCTAAATTCCTAAAACCCTAAATCCTAAACCCTAAGTCCTGAAACCATAAAATCCTAAACTTTAAAACAACAAACTCTTACCCCTATACCCCTCTAAAATCCTTAAACCATAAACCCTAGATCTGAAATCCACAAATCCAAAATCCTAATCTCTAATCCCTCAACCATAAATGCTAAACCCTAACCCCCTAAGCCCTAATTCCTAATGTCAAATCCCAAACCCTAAACCCTAAATCCTAAACATGAAACCCTAAAACTCTAAATCTTGAAAAACCCTAGACCCTAGATCTTGAATCCAAAGAAAAACCTTAGAAACTCTAAAAATCATAAACCCTAAACCCTAAAAATCCTACACCCTAAATCTTAAAAACACTTAAAAACACTAAACCCTAAACTATGTTGATCCAATAAGCTTCGTTATTGTATTTATTTTTTAAAAAATAACTTACAATTATAATTTTAATAATACTCCATCTATTTTTGAAAGACAAATACCATGAAATTATGTGACTAGTAATTAATGCATTTGAATTTTTGAAAAAATAGATTACAAGTACAATTTTAAAAATATCCCCTTTATTTTTTTAAAATAAATATAATGAAATTATGTGACTATATTTATTCAATAAATATGATTTTTTGATCTACATACAAATACCTTTAAAGATGAATAATTAACTGTTTATATAAAATAAATTATTAATTACATTTGAAAAATGCGGTTAATATTTGTCAAAAAAAAAATTTCAACATCGTGCAAAATTTACTAAAAATTACGACGAGTGACAAAGCAATGATTGAATTTTTATAAACTACAACAAATTCTATTAATTCTGTTTTTCAAAATTTCGAAAAAAAAAACAAATAGTTATACAAATAAAATAGGAGATTTTGGGTATTTTTTATTTTCTGAACATTAAAAATTAAAAAAAAAAACTTTTTTTTTTATTTTTTTATTTATCAAACTGACCCACTGTTCAAACTATTTATTGAAGTAACCCATAAACCAGATCTGAAATACAGATCTCTGAAAACACAAAGCTATTTCAAACCCTCCTCCTCCTCCTCGTTTCTTCGATGTCCTCTCTCTCACCGCTGTCCCATCCACCACCGCCACGGCCGTCTTCATTCACCACTGTGGTCCCCTCCGCCACCGCCGTCAACCAGTACCGCCTCCGCCACCGCCACCGCCGTCCTCCACCACCGTAGCAGGTCTCTCTCTCTCTCTCTCCTCTCTCTCTCTCTCTCTCTATACTGTATTTCTAGTAATACAGTATGTGTGTATGTGTATGAGAATGTAGAGTTCATATTTTTTTTTCATAACAATTCCTTTATATAAATATATCGCTGATTTGCTCATTGTATCAATCTTTCTACCCAGTTGAACATTCTAGCTTTAGCAAATTGATATCTATGGAACTCATCTCCTACCTAAAAAGTCATCCTTCAAGGATTAAAATCACTGCAATATAACAGCTTAACGGGAACAATTTAAATTTTGGAATTTTCTAATCACAAATATGAGGAGCATTTGTTCATAATAGCAACACTGAAGTCATGCCTGTGTCATTCTTAATTTATTTATTTAGAAAATGAAGTTAAAAAATATGTATACACACAATTCACAATTACCAACAACTTTAATACCCTAGTATCAATATTTCGCGTTAAGATCCTCTAGAGTGTATTCTCTAGAGTGATCTCCTAGAGTGGTCCATCCAAGGGCTGAGATTAAGTCTTACCAAAACGACGTCGTTTTGGTGAGTAAATTCAAAAAAATAAATAAATTCAGGTTTCAAAATCCCCCCATTCAAGGCTTCACTACTAGGAGCTTCTCTCTCTAGAATCTAGAGATATAAAACTCCCCGTGGGTGTAACAATGGTGATTTATTGTGTTTAGGAAAGTGAGTGAGAGTGGTTCTGGTCTTTATAGATTATACGAGTTTGAGGGAGAGAGTAGGAACCAAATGGTTTGTGATGAGTTTCATGTTTTTTGGTTCTCTTCAGATAATTTTATGATGAAACCATCCATGGGTCTGCTATTTTGTCGGTTACGAAGGGTCATCGCTGGAATTTGAAATTAGGTTCAATATGCTCTCTACAAGAGCGTGATTTAGCGGCACTGTTGTTAGGTGCGTGTGAGCATCCTGGTTTATTGCAAGTCGAAATGTTTTCCTCCCTCTCTCTCCTCTCTTTCTCTCTCTTCTTTTTCTTCTTTTGCTCCTAAGTCTTACCCTTTTTCCACTTCACACACCTAATCTCACAATGTGAATATCAGTACAATAGTAGACCAGAGGAATCTCAAATTCAAATTCTGGCTCTAAGCTTCCTTTCTTGAATATCAGTACATTGCATTTTGTCTTGGAAAAATTCTGACAAATCTCTTTGATTCTGCAATCTTTCTTTGTAAGGCAAATCTTCCTTGTGTATCAAATCCAATCAAAATCTTTATTTTGAATCCTTCAATATATTTTGAATTCAAACTCTTCATGCCTCATTTTTGTTTGAACAATCTGCTCTGCAGAATACTTTGAGTTGACTCTCTATGTTAAGCTAACTCCCAAAATTCTAGGAATTTCATTTTTAATCTAGTAAGCTCTGAGCTGGATCATTTAGATTGAGTTGACTCTTTCATTTCTGATTTGATTCTTATTCAATACAATAAACTTTGAGCTTGCTCCACTTTCTTCATGAGTTGACTTGAATTTAAAAACTAGAGTATATTGTTCCGGTCAATTCTACAAATTAGACAAACGTTAATAAGCTTTTAAATTTAACAATAACATATCATAAGCACAATCATATAATGCTTTGCTATCATCAAAATCAATTATATAATCATTTGACAACCTTTGGGGCTAACAATGGTCCGTATGGAAGCGTTTTGTCTCTCTTACTTGGAGAATCTACTGATTTTGAGTTTTCGCTTCTTGGACAGTGTGGTGCTGCATGAATGGATCTTGTATATTTTGACTATTTTGAAGATTTATTTAATTGGTACGTAAAGATTCTTGTGAAAGGTTCAATTAGGGGTGCACATTTGACCTGGAAGAACTAAAAGCCAAACCGAATTCAATGATTATGGATTGGTTTGGTTTTGTAGGCTTGCGGTGTGGTGCTGGTTCTAAATTTTTAGGAACTGACCTCTTCGGTTGGGTTCTTGGTTTGAGCATTAGTCAAACTGAATCAACCCAAGAACCGACTCCTAAATTTTTGTTTCGCGCTAATCCTTGCTACTGTTCTTGAATATAAAACAACTATTGAAAGCTACTTTTCCCCCTTTCAATGTCATCATTATACAACCCATAGAGAATCATTTTTGTAGGACTCTACATGTTGTGCATGGTCATGTTCAACCATGGTCTTTAACCATTTACCAGCATCAATGCTTCTCTATAAACAATGAGAATGATAACTCACGTGAATAGTGGATATTTTTGGTTTGGTTTGGTTCGGTTCATATGGGGCGATGAATTGGTTTTGGGTTGGATGTTTCAAAACCGATCTAGGTTGGTTAAGTATCAACTTGAACCAAACTAACCCATGTGCACCCCTGTTTATCAATGCTTCAGTGTTTATAATTGTCATTTGTTTTGAACATTTTTTCGAAAATTTTGTAATGTCATTTTTGAACATTTCTATCGGAAAAAGGGTCACTTGCCCAAATCATAGCGTGCACACTCTTTTTGAGGCTAAACTTTAACCCCGTGTAATGTAGCCCATCTCACATCCAAAAAAGTCAAAGCAATTTGAACATTATCAATTTTTTGGGGTTTCCTGTCACTTGCTTATGTCAACCACACAAATGCAAGGATTAACAGCAAACATCACCTAGACACCATGAGATCAATTGTAATAACTACCAGTAGGTTTGGATTATCTATAGCAATAGGTTTGGTTAAATACCACTTGATGGGTTACAAATGAACAACCCTTTCCAACGAGAAATCATAGACTAAGATTTGCATCAAACCTTAATCTCAGCAATTGTTACCCCATATCATTACATTCCAATTACACACTACAACCTAACTACCCGTTGTTCATAAAATTGCATAATACTTAATTAACAATTAGCACAGTGATGTCTAGTAACTGACACTTGTAATGTGATGCCAATGACAATACTTTACAAAGAACAGAACCCAAATAGAAGTCTATTCCTTTAACACACTATTCCACTCCAAATCAAAAACATGATCTGAGACTATGTATAAAGAGAGCTAAGCGTGGGCAATCATTTGAACTTTGAAAATAGTTATCAATTATATGGTTGAGCAAAAACCCTCCAAAATCTATGATGTAAAACCAAGTCTCACTGTCCAACAAATAATTTTCATCTTTATATCCAAAAATGAATTTGAAGAATACTAAAATGCAAAGAAACCAAGTACATCATATCTTCCTTTAAATATTCTCACCTATAACACATCAATCAATTAAAACTCAAAATCAAATTCAAATAGTGAACACACACACATAGATATGTATGTATATATATCTAAAGAGAGAAGGGTGGTGCGGGGATGGAGTACCTGTGAATTGTGATGATTTGGGGAGGGAGTAAGCATAGAGGGAAGAGAAGGGGTAGGTCTTAGGCAAGGTTTTAAAAAGCGGCCGCAACCGTTACGTAACGCCGTTGCATAACGGTTTTGGCGGTTACCGCCACCCGTTACGGCCGCTTTTGCAGTGTGATTGAGATTCACAGGTGTGTCGGCCGTAGCGGCAGCTGTAGCGGTCGTAACGGTGCCGTAACAACCGTAACGGCCTGTTGCGTACCGTTACGTAACGGTTCGAAACTGTTTCTTTCGAAAAAACACACAAAACAAAGTTGAAAATGGGAGAAGAGGGATAGAGAGAAGAGGGAAGATAAAGAGAGAAAATGGAGGAGCAAGAGATAGAGAGAGAGAAGAGGGAAGATGAAGAACATGTTATTGATTTGTTGAACTTGTAAGATCTATGCTATTCTATTTAGCTGCTATCACTAAACTATTTTGTTTGTATGTGATTATCTATATATTGTTTGAAAATAATAATAATAATAATAAGTGTGGTCATTATCTATTTGGTTTGGTTAAAATATGTATATATATATATATATTTAGGTTCTTATTTATTTTCTTACTTTTGTCATTATTTATCTTATATATAATAATTAGTGATTGATTTTTTGTATAATATAAAGTCATTAATTATTAAAATAAAATGTAAAAAACTCAATTTATAGTGATTTAAAAATATGAAATATATTGGATCATACTTAAAAATTTATAAAAATTCATCAATATTTATTTTTAACCCAATAAATATGAATAAATATGATCATGGAAAAAAAATATGCGTATCGGTAAGTTTTTTTCAAATTGTGCGAAAAATAAAAAAATTCACGGTTCCGATTACCGCAACCGTTACACTACGGCCTTTACATCCCGCAACCGCAACCGCGTCACCGGCACCATTACGGTTACGGCGACCGCAACCGCTTTTCAGAACCTTGGTCTTAGGTTTTTTACGTTTTCAGATCGGGAACTACTTAGATGGAGTAGGTCTATGGAATCACAAACAATTGTGCCGAAAATTGTGTTGATATCATGGTGGATGAACAAGTGAAGGGTGAGGCCTGCCACATCATTTAACGAAAAGAAAAGAACAAGGACCATTGTTAGTGTACATTCTTCTAGTTGCAATCTAAGTATCATAAATGTTAATCTTAAATAATATATATGTGGCATGTTTACTATATAGTATTAAAATAATGGTTTTAAAAAAAAATCTTTTTCTTATGTGGCGTGAACATTTTATATAATGTTGTAATTTTAAATACCACGTCGTAATGAAGATTATAAGTTGGAATGTTAGGTCTTAGATCTGAGAGGAATAGGTGGATGATTAAAGATTTTCTTAACAAACAACAATCATATGTTGTCTTATTACGTTGGAGGTGCTTCCTAGAGTTGTTTCGGATCATTGTCTGGTGGTGATTGAGAATTGTCCTTTTAAGTGGGGTCTGACACCTTTTAGATTTGAAAATATGTGGCTTGAATATCATTCTTTGAAAAAATCTTGTGCAGAGTTGTGGAGGAGGAGTAGATGCTATGGATGGGAGGGTTTCAAATTTATGAGGAAACTAAAAATGATTAAGGATGAGTTGAAGGTATGGAATACGGATATTTTTGGAAACTTAAATGAGTTTAAAAAAATGATATCATTTGGAAGATTGAGGAGTTGGATGGACTTGAGGCTAGGAGTGGCCTTAATGAGAACTCAAGGAGAAGTATAAATGGGATGAAAATAAAATTTGAGGAGATAGCATTTAGAGAGCAGATTTTATGGGTCAGAAAGCTAAATTGAAAAGGGTCAAGGAAGGGGACATTAACTGTAAATTCTTTGATAGGCTTGTTGACGGGAAGACAAAGAATAATTTCATCCAGAGATTGGAATTGGCGTCAGATTTTAGATATTGTTGGTTGTAAATGAGGTAGTTGAGGAATATAGGGGGTTGAATAAGGAGTTATGAAGCATGGGTACTTCGAAAAACATGTTGTACCCGTACCGGGTACTTGCTGGCATACCGTACCTCGTATGGTACTTCTGTATACGTACCGGGTACACGAAACACGTACCCAAGTTTTTTTTTTTAATTTTTGGCGTACCCAGACGCACCTAGTATATATCCAAGCCGTACAATACCCTAGTTGAAACAATATTTTCCTTCTACTATACAGATAAAACTCATTTCACAAGACTTTTTCTTTATTTTTTGTTTCATGCTTAGCATGATTTTAAAATTAAACTATGGTTTGTAAGTTATTTAATATATTGACATTTAATTTCGATTTATACTTTTACTTTTGGCATTAAATGTTAATTATAGGTTGGACCTTAACAAATTAAACCATTTAATTAATTTTTGCATTATTCTAAATTAAAAATAAATATTTTTTTATAAGCGTACTAAGCCGTACTCGTATCCTATTTTTTTTTAATTTTACTGTATCGACGTACCTGTATCGTACCAGTACCCGTACTCGTGCTTCATAGATAAGGAGGGTGTATTTTTTAAAGTTGACTTTGAGAAAGCTTATGACCATGTGGAGTGGTAGTTTTTGGACTTCGTGATGGAAAAAACAGACTTTGGGGATAGATGGGGATAACAGATCCCCTTGCTGCCAATGGCCTCCGAAGCCTTAAAACTATTCATGGCCTTACCATTGACAATAATTGACATATTATACGAGGATGTTTTTTTGTTCACTAGTTGATGTTTTTTTGTTCACTAGTTGATGTTTTTTTTGGAAGATGGTTGATAGAGTGAGGTTGGTGGGCTTAGTTGATGGTTTCGTCACTGGGAGGGAGAGGGTGTGTGTGTCCCATTTCCCATTTCTAGTTTGCAGACGACGCTATTTTTTTCTCTTATGTGGACTAAAATGACACTTGCTTAAACCACAGTGACTAATGGTGTAATTTAACCTTTTCTTTTTTATATTTTTGGTGGCAACTGGTAAGTGTTTTGAAGTCCATATTTTTTTATATGGTTGTGTGGAACCATACTCACCATGTTTTAGCTTGGCGGCGGCATAATACCACTATTTTTACTTTGTATCTCCTTCCATTGTGCCACCCCAGAATTTGTGCTGTAGGGTATAAATTTAGTTTAGACATTATTCTTTTTTGTTTTCTCTGGGCATTGGAGGTTGGAAGGAATGTGCACTGTAGTGGGTTTTTTCTCTCAGCATGTTCTACTAAATTTGTTGTTTTCAAGCTATTAATTTGACTCTTTACAGTTCTCTGAAAGTTTGGAGATATATGAGATCCATGGTCTGAGTTATATACCCACCTGTGCTGGGTTCCATTATTTGCACTGTGACTGTGAAACCAGTAAAAGGTTCATGCTGATAATGGGACTTCTATATGTTCTATATTCTAAGAAATTGTTTGCTCCTTTTCACTGCAGAAACTATGCAAAGGAACTGTGAGGCATCTGTGAAATGCCTCCATATCAAGGGATACCCTTACAATCTGCAATGTAATGGGAGTCCCATCGAAGGTTTTCCAGAGGTCAAAGATGAATTCTGTGCTCATGCAGGTGGGAACATTGTGGAACCGGATCCCTCATTAAACAGTGAATCTCTTGAATCTGCAAATGAGTTTCATAAGAAACCCACCTATCCAAATGATTTTGACTCCTGGTTGACCTTCCATCCTGACTCTAATGTGCAGCGGTGCCAGTTGAATTGTTTTGAGGGCCAATTTTACCCTTTTCTGGTGGATAACCGTTTCCAATATGCTCCACTCAATTTCTTCCGTCAAAGTTACCCTTATGAGTACCAGTTCCAAGATTTTCAATATTTTGTGGTTATAGACTTTGAGGCTACATGTGACAAGGGAAGGAATCCTCATCCACAAGAGATAATTGAGTTTCCATCTGTGATAGTGAGTAGTGTGACTGGACAATTAGAAGCTTGTTTCCAAACATATGTGAAGCCAACATGCAACCAGCTCCTAAGTGATTTCTGCAAGGATCTCACAGGCATCCAGCAAATTCAGGTTGGTTCAATGTTCTAATCTGCTAGAAATTGTTCAGTTAATGATCTAGAATATTAACATTTCTGTTTATCTATTTATTTGTTTCTTTTCCACTTGTTTTTCATATTTTGTGGTGTTATGGAAAACGAAAGTCAACATAAAACATTTTCCATAGTCAATAGAAAACAAGGCTATATGGGCAGAAAATGTTTTCCACTTTTAAAAGGCGGAAAATGTTTTACAAACTAAAGTTTTACCAACATCACCACACTACCACCACTTTCACCTCCACCACCACACCACCATCAACATGGCCACTATCACCATCACCGTTGCTATCACCACCACCCCACCACCATGCCACACCCTCCACCTTCACCTCTACCTCCACCTCTCCCTTCGTTCCACCACCACCACCATACGTAGAAAAATATTTTCTCTAGAAAACATTTTCTAGAAAAAGTTTTCCGTGGAACATGTTTTTCATTAGAAAATGTTTTCTGCCTAAACAAACAAAGCGTTAAAGAAAAACATCTCTTTAGGCATGTCTTTTGGTGCAATTGCTTCTCACATTTAATTTTGGTACTTAAATTAACTGCTGAGCCACTTAAACTGAGGGAAAATTGTCTGTGGAGAATAAAATATATTGCCTTTTTAGGGGCCTGTTTTCTTTTTCCTTTGGTTTTTTCATTTTTCTGGCTGTCCAAATTGAAGCAGTTATTGGGTAATTATCATACTCGTTTCTTTCAGTGATTTACATTGTAGTTCCTAAACCTTCTTTCTTTCTTTTTTTCTCTTTTTTTCCTTTTTACGTTAGCATTTGAAATGGTAACTTGATTGCTCTATTATTATACTAGATTTTTGGAGAGGGGAATCGTACTCTTATATTAGTGGATAATGTGTTTCTCTACAAATGTGATCTTTCTCTGGAAATCTGCTTGAAATTTGATGGGTCTGAAAGCGACAAAACCAAGTTGGGTTGAAGAAAATGTAGAGAGATTAATTATCTGCATGCTTATATTGACATTATCATGGAGGTGAGCAGTGACTAGTAAGTAGTAAGTGAAAACGGCATGGTGGAGAAAACTGTAGAGTCTGTAGTTTGTCAAAGTGGCCTGATGCTGAATTTTTTTTTTTTTTTGGGTGTACACAAACACACACACACAAACCCCTATCTTTGGGTCATTAGGATGGATTGGAATTTTGCACAGGGAACAAGAATGTTATAGGGTTTGTTCTTCCGCTTCGTCTAATTCCATTGCTTCAGTGCCTTACACTACCGTGTCTTTCCTTAAGAAAAAAGTCATGTGTACTTAGTAAGAGAAAAATCAACAACAGAATTTTGATTCAGTGGATCTGAAAAAAGAGTAAGCTAAGTCATGTTGTAGAACCAGAACTCAAAAAGGAAATCTAGATTTTTTTTATAGAAATCATCGCTATATAAGGGAGTTCCTTTACTCTGTACCATAAAGACCAACTTCATATATTAGTTTAAATAAGGTTATTGGAAAAGCACACTTCTTGAAATAATATCACAATCCTCTTACTAAATTTGAAGGCACAACCTAACCAACTAGGCCTAGCCTAGTTGGCCACCATGACTCTCTTAAGGGCTTAGTCTCAAGGGGGACGTCATGAGTTCAACTCTCACTAAGGGGGAGTTGAATTATGAGGCAAGCACTTGGTACTTTGTAAGGGTGTGGTGTGGAGGCTAACTCTCCTAGGTGCTAATCTATATGGAATATTGAACTAAAGGTTCATATACATAAACAAGAAAATTTAATTAAATTCAAAGTTGGAATGCAATCATATATCAAAAGAAACAAAAACATACTTGAGAGCGAGCTCTATATGTTGACGTTTGTAATAGATCACGGCAAAAATGGATTTTAATATTTCTTGTCAAGTCAGTTGCAAAGTCAATCGAATTTCAAAAAATCAAGAAGAAAAAAAATATTTAGTGAACTTCAATAAAAAATAATAAACAAAAAAAAATCAAATTTCTTATTTTTCAAATTGGGTGTATAAGTTAAAAATTCAGGAAAAGATTGGATTCAGCCAACTTCTCGAATTGAATTGAATTTTTGCTTTCTCAAAACCATGTGTTAGGCCCCCAAAAAAGTGAAAATTTTGAAGACAAGATAAATATTGAAAATTGATCGATCTGAATATCATATCACTTTGAGAGTTTGATCAGCTTTGATTTTATTTTTATTTTTTTAAAAGCAATATTTTACAATGTAGTCCTCTTGTTCCATATTTTCACCCTCACAAGATGATTTGGAATGCTAGTATGCCCCTTAAAGTTAAAGTGTTTGCATGGACATTCGCTTATAAAAGCATAATACTAATTACATGATTCAAAAGAGAAGACTGAATTGTGTGTTGTCTCCGCAGTGGTGTGTTATGTGTAATAACACTGAGGTAAGTGTTGTGGATCATCTTTTCTTGCAGTGTCCTATGCCAGTATGTCTATGGTGGAGAGTTTTTCTTATGACAGAGGTGCATTGGATCATTCCACCCTCTTGTGAGTCTATGTTTTGTATTGATTTTCGAGGCTTTGGAATAAAGGGAAGGGCTCGGGTTCTTTGGAATTGCGTCGTTGTTGCAGCCTTTTGGGTATTATGGCTTGAAAGAAATACTAGAGTTTTTGAGGAGAAATATGCACATTTGGAGTCTATTTGGGAGAAATTGGTTTATCTTGCTTCTTTTTGGGCATCGGAGAATCCCCCTTTTAAAGGGATACCACCTTTTCTTATTTCTAGGGACTGGAAAGCTATATGTAGAGGGTGAAGGTTTTTTTTTTTTTAATTTCTGGTGGACTTTTTGTCATCCCTCAGTTGTAATTCAGCGCTTTTCTTTTTTAATAATTTTTTTTTTTGTTGCTAATGAGAAACAAATGTTTTCTTTTGATTTTAATGTTTGAGCAGATTTTCAAGGACTTGGGAGATTGGTCAGCTTTTAGACACTCAAAAATTTTATTGTTTTACTGTTATTTCAGCTTGTGTTAGGCAAAATGTTAATAATTTTTGTTTCATGTTGTGGTTATCCAAGCCATATGTGGACTAGTAAATTGCCTTGGCTTCTTGTTAACAAATTCAAGTGGGGTTCTTGGAAGGTCCAAAAGCCTTAGCTTGGCTTTATTTCCAAGCTTATGTGGCTTCCAAGCTCAAGTCTTATTCTAGTGGTGGATTAGTATATTATTATTGTCATCATTTGTTAGTTTTTGAGGTGTTGAATAGTTGTGTATATATATATATATATATTTCTAAGACAATTTCTAGTGATTTGTAGATTTATTTATTTAGTGTATTACTGTTTGAATGCTTATGAGAATAAACTGTTGCATAGGGCTTACTTTCCTACATCAAGACATACATTGTTCTTGTGTGGTGTGAGGATTGATGAGGTGAAAGGTACAAAGTATGGGTTTAAAAATGCTTTTTTTACAACTGATAACTTTCCATTTATAATTATATGTTTGTATGTGTATTTGTGCATGTATGTACCGGTTTTTTTTTATAGATGCATTTGAATGTACTGTTGTGCGTGTTTTCAAAAAAACAAAAGCTAACAGTAGTTATTAAGCTTTCCTAGTTATCCACCATGTAATGAAGTTTGCTGTGAAGAATATTCTGTTGTATTCGATTAGTGGGTTGACTGTGACTAGGATTTGAATTTAGTGAATTACAAGAGAGGCTCAATTAGTCTATGAAGCATGTGTACGAGTACGTCAATAGGGTATTACGTTCATAAAAAAAAAAATTATTTTAAATTTATAGTAATGCAAAAATTAGCTACATGGTTTAGGTGGTTAAGATCCAACCTACAACTCACATTTAACACCAAAAGTAAGGTATAAACTAAAAGTAAATGACATTATTTTAAATAACTTACAAATCAAAGCTTAATTTTAAAATCTTGCTAAGCATAAAAAAATAATAATAAAATAAATTAAAAAAACCCTAATGAAACTAAAACTTTACTTTTGTATGCAAGAAAGGTATGATTTGGGTATATATTAGATACCTCTGGGATATGGCAAAAATTAAGACAGATTTTGAATACGTGTTTTATGTACCCAGTACATGTGCAGAAGCAACCATGCAAAGTACCAATACCCATTACGGGTACGATAGGTCTAAATTATAGATTGAGTGATTTTTTCATGTTAAATTTGTAAGTTTTTCATTATTTTTATGGATAAATATTACCAATATATGTTGTGTCCATATCTTATTTTTTTGAAAATCTCCGTGTCTATGTCTGTGTCTATGATTCTTAGTTACCCAGGAAATTAGCTACTTAAATTAACGTAAAACAAATTAGTAGGCTGTCATGACCCGAACCTGCTCCTATGGATTAAGGTCATAATCGGCCAGTAATCAGGAGATTTGTCCATAGAGTTATGCTTACATGGTATAGCAAAATCATTCCAAAAGTATTTCGCAATAACTCACACTTACCCATAGAGTTAATCTATATCCAGGAACTTTCAGTTATGCAGTCAGCCAAACAAAACTTATATACAAAGGTGGTCCAACGTTTTCGCCAACATTAGCAAAAATACAACAAAAGAACAAAAGGGCAAAAACAAGTCTCGTGCATGAAATGTTTGGGCTGACTCTCCAAAACTTCGACTGTTTCTCACATACTTCACTGAGGCTAGGTTTGGACATCTCTTGGCTCACCTACAGACACATGAATGAGAGTGAGCGAAAGCCTAGTGAATAATATCAAAATAAAGAAGGTACATGAACGAAATTTGAAACAGATGCATTAGACGGCTTTGGGCTCAATTCATGTTTCTATCTAGTGTATCAAACGATTACAAACCTAGACGTATCAACGGCCTCTGGCCCACTTTGATTTTTAGCAAACGGCCTCAAGCCCAATTCATTCATATCAGACGGCCTTTGGCCCAATCATTCATGTCAGACGGATATTTGTCGACGATCCAAATTGACAAGCTTACGAAATTCAAATAGGTGTAAATAATTGGACAAATAGCATACTTCAAAATATCTTTACTAAGACATTACTCGTAGTGATCCGCTAGATGATTTACCCTTGTGCTTGACCCTACACATTTCATATACATAATGGGTCATAAGCGATTCAATCCGTTCTTAATTCATATATTCTTCTTAGGCCTCTTTCTTATCTTCTACATCCATTTATAATGTTCAATGTATACCTAAGAGTGCTTAGAAATGAAAGAGAACGGAAACAAAACATAAAATTATCTTTATAAAATTTCTGAGACAGAGCTCCCCGCTCGAGCATGGTTTCTGATGCTCGAGCAGACCCCCTTTGGTCTGCAAAAGTACTGGTTGCCTCATTTTTACGCTCGAGCGTGACTTTAGACGCTCAAGTTAAGAGTCAAAATACGTGGTTGGGCGCTCGAGCATGACTCTTTACGCTCGAGCATACATCAATGTCTACAAAAGTTCTGGGAACTAACATTTCACGCTCGAGCGGTGCTTTACCCGCTCGAGCGAACATGCCAAATTTTGAAATTTCCAGAATTGTTCTTGAAGCTTAAACTTAGCATTCAAAGGCCCAAAACTCATGTTTCTGGTTCAAAAACGTGGGAACACAATATATATCATGAAGACACAAGCAGTATGAGGCCAATTATCCAAAATCATGATTTAATTCCCAAATCATTTAACATTCTTCTTGACATGGTCAAAACTCATGCATTCTAACTTCATGCAAACTCCATATCTTTATGGATCATTCATGCGTGTGTAATATAGACCCCAATACCATTTCAAATGACACAAGTGATGCTTATTCTCATGAAGCTCAATAAAACTATGCTTGCATGTATAATTCAACTCTCAATTTCTCATAATTAACATGCTACTTGCTTGATTGTGCAATATCATGGCAATACTCTACATGCACAGTCATATTGACTTCAAATTCAACTTAATTCTTGTCATTGATTACCATTTAACTTGAATCCACAAAATTACAAACTCAAACTTATGAATTCATGCCCAATTACGTACCATGAGCTCCAATCTTCCAAACTCTAGTTAATTCTTGAGTTAATCTTCAAGATCTTCAAGCTTCTTGTTCAATTCTTTAACTTGAGCTCTCTCTCTCTCTCTCTCTCTACAATCGGCACACTCTCTCTCTCTAGGGTGTAATTTCAGCAAGTATGAGTTCAAAAAAGATGAATTGAGCGTATATAAGCCTATTTATAGGCTTGGCTAATCAAATTGATTAAGGCTAAATGATTGAGCCTAATTTAATCGTTCTGAATCTAATTATTTTGATCCAAATAATTTTTCAATTAAATTTCACCATAGGTTCTAAAAATTATGCTAATCACAATGGCGTGGTCAATTTCGGTTTCTGTGGCCGATAAGATCTTCAATTTTCAGTTCACAACGGTAAGTTTAACCGATTTTCCTACGGTGAACAGATAGAAATTCAAAACCACATATAATCATATAAATGGCACTCAAAATCACATTAAACATATAATCACAATCATAATTAAGATCAATTAGCATAATATGGAACAGGATTATCACATAGGCTCTGGTTCTAACATGATGGAAAAGCGAGGAGTTTTTGGTTCCATTCTAGCTACTTCAGTACTGGGCCTATTTTGGGTACTCTCCTTGGTAGCCCTATCCTATCAAGAGATATGCTCTTTACATAAACTTGATCGAACCCTACTAAATTTTGGTAACTGCTTGGTTTAGGTTAATTTTTTGATGAAGTAACTGCTTGGGTTAGGTTGATATTAATAACCATTTAGTTATCTCTAGTGAGTGATACCCCAGTTAGGTTCGGTTAGCTCTATTTAGAGCCATACTGCCAAGTGCCAGCCCTGGGGAGAAGAATAAATGATTAAAAAAAGGAAGTTAAAGTCATGCCCCAGTGTCTGCACTAATCAAGGCGAGAATAGTAGTATATGTTATTAACCCAGCATTAGAATGAACAAAAAAATCACTACTTCTACAGAAAAAATTTGAAAGAGTGCCTACAATTCATGTTTGTCGTAAAGGTCTGACCTGGGAAATGAAACTAAAGTTGGCTTGTAACATTATAGTATGACATACATCAGTAATTTGATACCATATTAGAAGCCAAGTTGCAGGATAATTTTGATATTAAGGGTAAAGAGGACATTAGAAGAGCATTAACTTAAACAATGAGAAATCTGCTCAAATAGGATAGATGAAACAGACTTGAACCATTTTAGGATGTATGTGCTTTCATGCGTTGGTTTCTGTCTAAACCATGCTGCCTCAAGCCTCCTTGCTATTGTTATTGTGAGTTTATTCCAGAGTGCCTTCTACTATGAATCTTGAGCTTATTCTTCCTGGATTGTGTCAACCTAGGTGGATAGAGGTGTTAGTTTGAGTGAAGCCCTCCTCAGGCATGATAAGTGGCTTGAGAAGAAGGGAATAAAGAACACCAACTTTGCTGTGGTTACTTGGTCGAATTGGGATTGTCGGGTGATGTTGGAATCTGAGTGCCGATACAAGAAGATCAGAAAGCCTCCTTATTTCAACCGGTAAATGATCAATTTGTTAACTTGAAATTTTCTTTATTTATAGATTTGTTTGGTAAAAATAATTTGTAGATTTATATTAAGCACATTTATGGGGACATTCGCATGAATATTACTGCTTGGCTTACCAGATGGATCAACTTGAAAGTTCCTTTCCATGAGCTTTTTGGTGGTGTGAGGTGCAATCTGAAGGAGGCGGTTCAGATGGCTGGCCTGGCATGGCAGGGCCGAGCTCACTGTGGCCTAGATGATGCAAAAAATACTGCCCGCTTACTTGCTTTCCTCATGCACAAGGGCTTCAAATTCTTCATTACGGACAAACTGATGTGTCAGTCTACTGACCATTCCTCAACATGGAAGCAGCCCCAGGAACACCTGCCCATCCCTCCATATCACCCTCACAAACTGAAGGACCTCCATAATCCTCTGATCCAGCTTCATCCTTTGTGTTACTGTGGGGTGAAGAGCAGCAAAGGGATGGTTCGGAAGCCTGGTCCAAAGCAAGGGAGCTTCTTTTTTGGTTGTGGGAACTGGACTGCTGCTAGAGGTGCCCGTTGCCTGTACTTTGAATGGGCTTCTCCTTGACTAGAGGGAAGAATTGACTTCTCTTTCCATCAATGAACACAGCTTAAAATTTGTTGTCTTCTGTAAAAATGGTAAGTCAGGTTGCCTCCTGGAGGAACCAAACATGCATTAGCTGCTTGGTGAGGCTTTTGCTTCTTGAGTAGTAAATATAGATAGTTGACTGAAAAAAACGTGTTTGGTTATTGCAGTGCTCATATAGGGGAAATGAAAGTACCTGTGTCTGGTTAAACTGACTTTTTGTTGACAGAAAACTCAACAAATTGGGAATGTGAGGAATGGGTGGTTAGGATGATGCTTTCACTGGTCACCATATAATTAATTATCTTAAATAAACTGTGAAATAGGGACAGTTGTTTGCACCTAAACATTTCAATGGGAATTTGTAGGCTTTGCTTGCATCAAGAATGTTGCTTTTGGGTTTATTTTTGCTTTGTATAATGTCAAATTGCTGTTTTGGTTTGAGATTTGGTTCAAGCCTTGGATCCTTGGGGGTTCAGTGAATTCTGCCCGTCTATGAGGCACTCATGCAATGTTTTGTTTCAAGAAAACCAAAAAAAAAAAAAACGCTGTGGTGTGTTGCATTGAGAATGGATACATTTTAAGGTGCTCACGTATTGGCCCAGTTTTGTAAAATTTATTGTCAGCTTAAAACCAGAAACACAAACTGGATTTCCAAAAGTTAATTTGGAGCCTTGTAACTTAAGAACATCAAATAAGCTACAAATGGTAAATTTCTGTCATACTGGTTATTTCTTTTGTAAGTTGGTATTTAGATTTATGAATTTGAAATTAATGGATTTGCCATCATTTATTCAAGAGTTACTTTTAACTCAATGTAGTATTTTAGATTTAAATTTCAAGGATTCATTGAAGAGTTTTAAATTGTAGAAATCCTTTGACGAATGATTTTACCTGTATAAATTTTTTAATAAAGATATATGTTTTCTTTTTCTATGAAATCTATAACTTTAAAATTGTCAATCTACCTTTAATAATTAGCCACCCTACAGTTTACGAAATTTACCCTCAAATTATTTCATTTCAAATCCATTCGAACAAATGGAAGCTTCATGTTTTTTTATGTTTAGTACATGAGTGATGCTGTTGGCCTGATTTGTTCATTAGATATAAAGGCCGGATATGGGTATGGAACCGGATATAATATAATGTGGGACTCACATTTTTTTTGTCTCCCTATATCTTGCTTTTGGTTGCTCCAAATATAGAAAGTTCGAATAGTATATGATGCAATAGGGAGATATGCAATATCACTCCGACATGGTATTGTATCCTCCACCGTCGGATATAGTTCATCTTTCATTCAAAGGTCAAAAATAATCATTCACCTCTTATCCCATCATATATCTTATCTTAATCAAACATAGTATAAGTAACCCCACAATATATATAATCCATCTCATATCCTACAACAGATTATATCCCATCTTTATCATTAGATATTACATATCCTATTTTCATTTTTTTTATTTAACAATTTTATTCCAACAAAAAGTTCCATTTTTGTTCCTATCCATAACTTCACAGAACCCTAATCAATCCTAACCTAGCTCTACCCCATTGATTAGTGTCGAAATGTTACACATTTAGGTTTTTCAAAGTCTTTACACTCAAATGAGATTAGTATGATGGATTTTGCAAAGCTTATATGGATTTTTAAAAGAAAAGATTATCTAACCAAATTTAAGAATAATTTCTTGAATTTTTGAGTTGGAAATTCTTTGTGCAGAAGTTGATATTTTGGGCATATCTCCTTCACAAGACATCGAATATGAATGAGTCAAGCGGCATTGGAAGGATAACTCAAAAGAGATTCTTATTACTTGGAGCGGTCCAGAACCGAAATTGATACAAGAGCCTAGCGAACTCTACCTTCAATGCTACTAAATAACTAAAACATGCTACTACACTAACTACTAATATGACTCTCCCTTACCACCGGTCAAGCAAGCTCTCTAACACCCTCCCCTTCCCAATGAGCTAGTTTTGCCTTCAGTTCCCATCTGAAATACAACTTGAAAGTCCATATTCAACTCAAACAAGAAGCAATCTACCTAGCTCGGTTACCCTAACTACTTAAATGAAAAAAATATCCCACTCATTATAGCTGCCTTCTTGATCGACCGCTCCACTCCATTACCTGACAGCCCCTACTTTCATTCGAATGTTGACCCGGAAACAACCTCAAACTACTCCTATGATAACCTCCATGATGGCCTTCCCTTGCTCCCTAATTACTCGATCTAGGGCCTATATTATTATTGAAACAACTCCAGTCGATCAATCGCTAATGTATAACCTTTGAATAATTTTTCAATTAAGCCATATTGGAGGTCAAAAATGAAGACATAATTAGGATAAAGAATCAGAAATTCTGCACACAGGACAGATTGCATACATTAATTTTGGAAAATCATATCTCATTTATTTCAAATCCAAACCATGCAAATCTTGTGTCTACATTGAAGCATTAGAAGTCTAGTTTCAGATGAAAGTAACCTCATGTCAAAATTCAAGTGTAGAGTGAGATATCAATGAAAGATCAGATACGACTCAATATGTTCAACAACTAGCCATTAAATTTAACTTTCTAAATCTTTCATATTCAACAATTGTTGGTTGTATTTATGAACAAATCTCTATATATTTGGGGAGGAAAGACTTTGTACATGTATGTGCTAGAGAGGTTAAGTTGATCAAAAGAGGAGGACAGTGATAGAAAATCAATTGTAGAAAAAGTTTTCTTTCAAACTCTCTTCCGAGATAGTTATGGTAATTTCTACAATTATGTGTAGCTAATGTTCTCATTCTTGAGTTGTATTTGAGATTTTGTTGGTTGTATTTGATTTCTGTGATTTCATATGCATGGTTAGGCAATAGTTTTATTTGTATATATATTGGGATCCTAAGATAGACTATGCTAAGAGGGACCGCTCCTACAGCAGTAATTTTAACACAAGACGGTTCATACCAACCGAATATTAAGACTGTCTGTGCCTAGAGTTTCGATATATAAATTTTCTAGACGGTCATATTAAATAGTCATAATATATTATAATTGTCCATTAATTAATCTCCCAAGAACGGTTACAATTTGCCTCGTGTTATGCAAGTAATGGTGTATTCGAACATCCTAAGGAATTCTTCACAACCAAACTTCACCATTCATTTATATTTATTTGTCATTTTCATTAAGTTCACATCATCAACTTTCTTCAAGTAAAAGTAATTTTATATTTCAAACATTTTAGTTTACTCAGTACAATATATGTGGATCAGTACAATATATGTGGATCGATACCTAGTCTTAACTGATATTTTTTGAAGTAGTAGTTATTACTTGGTTTTAAATAAATAATTTTTTGTGTGAAAATGACCCATCCACTAATACAGCTAAAAAGTCATTATAAGTTGTCACATTATTATTTTTATTTTATTACATATCTTTTTGTAAAAAGTCAAAAAATCAATTAAAATAGTCACTTTCCAAATGATCTATTAATGTTAAAGGATATGCCTTAATGTTAAAGATATAAGAATGTGCTTTCAATGCCTATAATTCTTCCATTTGGGGAAGGCAAAAAAAATAAAATAAAGGTAAATTATATTATTGGTCTTTTCAATTTGAATAATTTTACATTTTACATTTTCAATTTTGTTGTAATATAATCCCTTTGCTACTTATCATGATTAGAATCTTGAACAAAAAAAGATCATATGCAAAATTAGAGGTATCAAAGTGAATTTATAGTTTCTTTTGAATTCTACTTTGAGCTTTCTAATTTTGTACATAATATAATAACAAGTGATAGAGGGATAACATTGCAACAAAACTAAAAAGATAGCATTCAAATAGTTCAAACTGAAAATATGAAGACTGATGTGACCATTTGTTTAAACTACGGGATTAATGGTATAATTTATATTAAAAAAATATTGCGTAAATTACACTGATTTCTTTTGAAATTTAGAAAAAATACAAGAAGTTTCACAATTTTAACATAAGTATGTTGAATTCATTGGAGATTTTAATTCATAAATTTATTTTTATCAATAATTTGTTAGTTATATAGATGAAAAAAATGGTGTTGTCATATTCTTTATATGAAAATGTATGCTTTATATTGTTTATTTTTGTGTTTTCGAACTATTTGAGTGGTGTTTAGCATAACCTATATAACTGGATTTATTTAGATAAGCACACTTATTTAGGTCATATCACCTCTTTATTTTTTTTGCACATCTTTTCATTAAAAAAAATATACTTATTTAAATTAGTTTTAATCCATTTAACATTACTATAAAAAAAAAAAAAGAAGAGAGAGGAGCTTTTTTAGTAAATCCCCTTTCTAAGAGTTCTTTACTATACAACCCAAAACGTTTTAGATTATTCCATTAAGTCCTACTCATTATATAAAGACCAAAACCCCTCAAGTCAAAACCCATGTTCATCATGTTTGAACCAAATAATACACACACACACACACACACACTCTCTCTCTCTTTTAAAAAATCGCGGAGAAGATCTCTTAACCTTTCAAAACCCTAAACCCTAGTCATCAATTCCCTATTTTCCCTCTCCCCGTCTCATCACGATGTTCATCATCTTTGTGTCGTTCTTTGCCGAAATCGCCATTGTCGTCTCCATCTTCACCGGAATCAGCATTGCCGACCACCTGTGGCAACCAAACCATCGAAATGGTCACCAAACGTAAGTATTCATCACCTATTTTCTATACAAACCCTAAAACTCTTCTTGAATTTGCACCAATGTAGGTTTCCACACATATTCCTTGATTCTATTCATATAAAGTGTAGAAGCTCATATTATTGTTATTAATACTATTCGTGATTTAATATGAACCCCTCACCCTGAAGATATGATTTTTTTCATGAAAAAAAAATTACAGTAACAGTTGTTATTGTTGTTATTGATAGTAGTGAACATTCACATGAAAAACACAATTGTGGACCAACTCGCTTTGTAACAACCCTCATTTTAACTTAGTCATATTTGCATACATTTGTGGATGATCTTGTTTTTGATACGTGCATTTGCAAATCTTGTCTTGTTTCGCTCGAGTGATTGCTTGCATGCTTTGTTCTTGCCTGGTGTGTTGCCAAGGTTGTCTTGAGCCTAGACACCTGAGAACCTTTCCATGCTTAGAACTACCTTGGAACCACTTCGGTTGACCTCCATCTCCACCCTGGCACATTGGCCGAGATGTTACCATCTAGGCCGAAGTGCGCGTCGCCTAGGCCGAGATGTGCATCATCTAGGCCGAGATGTTAAGATCTAGGCGTTCTAGATCCTTGATCCTTGCATTAGTGATTTTGTCCTTAGAATGGTATGACCTAGACCGAGGTGTGGCACATCTAGGCCAAGGTGTGGCACAACTTAGTCAAGTGTTGTCCTTCCAAGCTGATGTCATTGTTACCCTACT